CTTTGAATTTAGATACCATTTGATAACAACCACGGAACATTTTTTCCTTCTTTTTGAACTCCTTGCCAAGATGTTATTTTTCCTTATCTACCCATCATGGGCTCATAAAGTATATGATCAAATTTCTTTCTTGTAGTGCTGTCACAATATATGTCAACTGGGGATGTCAATGGCGAGGCTGATGGACTGATTCTATTTTTACATTGAAACCATATTCTTAATACTCCACCCCTCAGAATGTGATTGCCATCGTATCTTTCAATATTTTTCAATGACTTCTTGGCCATAAATAATTGTGGATTCCTTCTTTAGTATTAATTGTTTCCACGTTAATGTTCCTTCTATTTGGGTTTATAATCCAATCTGAAAGTCAGACTAGTGCAGCTGCTTGGTGGTACCATTTGGTATTTGGTACAGCTAAACCTCCTTCTCCCACCCATCCTGTAATACTTTAAATCTTATTCTTAGATTCGTTCCATTCCACACACAGTTATTTATAATTTTCTGCCATTTTAAAAAAATCATTTCATCTATATACATCAGTAACATTTGAAACAGAAAAGTCTACTTTAGTAATATATTCATTTTAGCAGCAGAAATTCTTCCTGACCACGAATTTTTTGGAGTATATGTATATAACAGGACAAAGTGAAAACTTATATAAAGACAATCCCCAAAAAGTTTGGAAGAACATTACTGAGGATTTACAAAAATGGGGAAGACTCTTGCTTTTTTCTATTGCTACAGACTAACACAACTACCTATCTTGATCTGTTACAGTAGACTGTGACCCATGGGTCTTCAACCGTATTAAACCTGTGGATACTTTTGCAGCGTTGTGAAAAGTAGCAGGCACCACCTCAAAATGGCTGCTTTGGGGACCACAGCTGTTCACAACCAGTTGAAAGGCTCATAACCCAGTTCAGATGTAAAGATGATGCCTCTTGGGTTCTTCCAAAGCACATTCTACACCGTGGAAGTAGGCAAAAGATGGAAACATCTCCCTGTTTTGTGGAAGATGCAATTCTGTTTCAGTTTCAAAGGGGAGGCTTTGTTCCCCTGCACAGCCTTCAGGAGAGAGGTCCCTAATATTTTCAAGCCTGTGGGCACTTCTGGACCTCTTGACACAGGGTGGTTGGTGCAACTGCAAAATGGCTACCAAAGGGGGCAGAGCCAACCACAAAGTATCAAAGAGTGAGGTTATGCATCACTCAAAGTAACCCTTCAGCATTTCAGGCGGAAGCTCTGCTTAACAGAATGCCTTTTCAAGTGAGCATATTTTGTAAGATCTTTTTTTGCATATACACAATGTAACACAGTGAAGATCCTTGTGCTATGATGGCAGCTGTTGCTGAAGCAGCTTTTAAAAACACTGTGCAGCCAATAAGCTCTTCAGCGGCCCAGCTGGGCCACACCCGTTTTCTAAGAACACTTGGCAAGTACCAGGAAGTGTAACTAGGCACCAGGTTGGCGACTCCCGCTTTAAGAGCTCTGTGTCCAAGCTGAGGGGCCATGGCTGCAAGATTGTGCCTCATAGAGAGTGCCTCAAAGTCCCATTTTTGTCTTAAATACACTTTGCAGAAAGAAAGAAAGTTCCCCTGAAATTAATCTGACACACTTTCAATTAAAAGTACGTCAGACACCTTTTGAGGTGAAAAACAAGGGAAAAAAATAGTCAAAACTTAGCACAAAAGTCACATTTTACTACCATTTCATATATGCCATTTAATTTAAAAAAGTACTCCATGGGGCTCTGTTGGCTAAGGAGACCCCATTTCAGCCTGGCTAATTCATCCTGACCCTGATTTTCATACCTGAATTCGAACTGGAAAACAGAAGCTACAGAAAAAGGAAAGGAGGAAGCAGTACAGAAAGAAGAGTGGTGAGTCAAAAGAGTGGAAGAGTCAAAACTTAGCACAAAGTCACATTTTACTACCACTTCATATATGCCATTTAATTTAAAAAAGGACTCCATGGGGCTCTGTTGGCTAAGGAGACCCCATTTCAGCCTGGCTAATTCATCCTGACCCTGATTTTCATACCTGAATTCGAACTGGAAAACAGAAGCTACAGAAAGAGGAAAGGAGAAAGCAGTACAGAAAGAAGAGTGGTGAGAACAAAAACGGGAGACATAAAATCTGAACAACATCTAGACCTTCCATTATGTTGGATATTGTAACTGCATGCAAGAGGATCTGGGAGGGAAAGGGTTAAGAGAATTCTCTCACTCAGGTATCACTTGGCAGTTGGCCCCACCCTCTTGAGACTCTTTAGCAAAATTGCCTTCTGTTTTTATCTTATATAGGACTTCTCCTATCTCTTGTCTGGAGCTGTAGCGAATTAACCTTTTTGATTAATCTCATCACAATAAGTTAAATGTACCTACATAAATATATCATTTAAGATATGCTTCCATTTTTGTAAATAAATTTCTTTCTCTTATTACCATTGGAGTCAAATCATCTTTGTAATTTGTTTGAACAGGACTTTTCCCTTAACCGGGAAACGTGGAGGATCGGGGATACTGTGACAAAGCTTCTGTGCTTCCAAGTCAATTTTTTTTTTTAATATTATGTACAAGCTACTAGAAAAATAGATTCTTGCTCTCTCCAAGGTAACAGTTGGGGGTTACATCACAACACCCAGTTTCCTGTCATTGGAGGGGATTAAAGGCAGTTTTTCTCATGCAATACATACATTTTAAGTCCAACTTGAGTCTAATAAATTCCCTCTCATACTAGCTTCTGCAGTGAGCTAGACTTTCCCAGAACACACACATTCACACCCTCTGGATATAGTATCTATCCAAGCTTATTTCTGCATGGATAACAAATGTACTTTTAAGTATAACCAAGTTCGTTGACTCTCCCTCTTCCTTGGGACCATTTGTAACAGTATTTCTGTAACAGGGTTTTTGTTAATTCCCCTTCTGGAACTGCTGGAGAATGTCAAGTTCTATTGTATAAGAGATGGGGAAAGTAAGAGCTGTTAAACTGTTAAAAGCAGAGCAGCAGGGACAGTTACATATCACCATTGTCTATTTCTGGGTGCATCCAATATCTGACTTACTACAATGTGTTTTCTATCTGCAAAACAGCCCTTAAAAGTGTGCTACCAGAAACAGACAAAAACGAGTGTGGGCCCACAAGACTCGTGGGGGGATTCTCCCCCCCCTTTCTCACTGGGCCCAATGAGACTCCCAGGCTGTGCTGCTGGACCCAGTGCATCTCCTGGGTTCCTCTGACAACCACTGGAGGTATGTCCATTCTCTGCAATTGCACAGAGAATGCTATTTTACTTTGGGGGGGATTAACACCCCCCTATGTATTTTTTTTTTAAGATTTCAAAGTGGAAGAGATGCAACTCCAGTGCCCTGGGAAGATGGAAAGGGAGCATGCCAGTGAGCCAAAAAGCAAATCCTTGCAACTAGAGAAAGAAGGTACATTACCAAAATGGTCGGCAGGCATTAAGAAAGCAAAGTGGTTCAAGACAAAGCAGATTCCAACATGGTCTCTGTTTCCTTGTAGCTAGATGAAGCATATCTCCCACCATACCCTGGAGTAAATTTTTAAAAAGATGAAAGCTCTCCCTCATGCAAATGTCAAAGCTTGGCAAATGTAAGGAGGCTACTTATAAGTGCAGGAGTGTGGGGTAGGATTACATTGCAGATCCAGAATGTCCACTTTCTAAATTCTCAAATTTTACATCACTTGATGTTTGGGGGCAGAGCTGGAAGAGTCACCTATCCCTTGCACAGCAAAACTCTCCCACAGCCTTCTCCAACCCCACAGTGATAACTGCCCCAGAGGGCTACGGTGCCAGCATTCTAGTACGTTGGCAGCAAGCTCCTGATAAGCTCTAGGACATCTCCCCAGCTGTCTACTTCATTCTCACATGTGTCCATAGTGGGAAAGCAACCTTGTGTGAGAATTGCTAGTGCCACCTGGAAGAGGTACAGGCTGCAAAGTGGAAGAGATGCAACTCCTGTGCCCTGGGAAGATAGAAAGGGAGCATGTCAATGAGCCAAAAAGCAAATCCTTGAAACTAGAGAAAGAAGGTACATTACCGAAATGGTCGGGAGCAGGCAGGCATTAAGAAAGCAAAGTGTTCAAGACAAAGCAGATTCCAACATGGTCTGGAAACAAAATTTAAGCTCCCCAGATAGTAATGAGCAGCAGGTTGAGTTGCATGGGGGTAATGTTTGAGGAAACAAAAACAGGGGTCATCCTCCCGCCCCCAGCCTCCTGCTCCACATGCCTCAGCGTCCTGGAACAGCATCCATACAAGATTAGAAGCTGCTCTGAACAGCATTTGAAATCCTACCAAGGACTAGACCCAACCAATACATTTCCTTTGGAGCAGCCTTCCTGAAGTTAACTGCCACCACCATTCTGTATGCAAAGGCTGGAATGGATACCCTGTCTCTTTAAGAGTTGCTGCCAGATTCTGTCTTTAAAATGTATAGGTGCTCTGCCTTTTGCATCCGGTACATGTGGCTGCTGAGCAGTGAGAATGGCAGGAAATACTGTAACCATGAGAAAGCACAATCTGACCCAAGATGGAGCATACGATCCAGTAGACAAGGAAGGCACAGTGTTCTTTCAAGGCACCAGAAGTTTCCCTAAAGGGCATAGGATAGAGGTAGTGAAAGAGTCTTCCATAACTGGAATGGGAGCATACACAGACACTGGCCAGACTTGTAGGATAATCCTATGTAGTTAAATCCAGTCTGAACCAACAAATCGGTGGGTTTAGACTGAGGTAACTTTGCATAAAGTTGCACTGTGTGGGAAAAGGGAGAATTTGTACAGTTTCTCCACTGCAGCTCCAGAATAAAATCCTCCCTTATAGGGAGGATCATAGGCACACCTTGCCCTATATGGAACTTGGCATCACGAAGGTAGCTGAGAACTCAAACCCCTTTCAGAAGGGGGGAAAGTGTGGACAGGGAGAAACTTGCCAGTGTTATGGGGAAATGAACATTCATATTTTTAGCAGCCTCACTATGTGACAATACAGCAATGCAGAATGAAAAACACAATGCAAAACCCTCCCAAAACAGAATCCTAAATTGAAAGTGCATCCAACAAGCAGTTCCAATATGCTATTAGAAAGACTTCTTGACGTCGCGAAAAAAGGCCACTGTGAAATTTCCGAGACAAGTAGGGATACCTATTGCAGTTAAGTTGCAAGGCGACCCTCTGAGCCCACCATACGCCTTTAGAAGCAGTCCAAAGATGGCGGATTGCTACTGTGGTAAGCTGAAGCCAATGCGTAGCAAGAAAGGAGGCACTGGGATCCTAAGACCCCACTGAAGACCTCCACTCATGTTCTGTGCCTGTTTAAGGGACCTTGATAGCCGAAGGAAAACAATCCAGAGCTGATCCCCCCCTTAGTCCTCCCCAACAGAGACGTGCACCCGATGCCACGCATTGTTGAGCACTCCCAAAATGTTCCAGATGGGTCCCACTGAGTCGGGTTGCTCGTTGTAGCTGGTGTCCACAGCCTTACAGACAATGTTCAGCTCCTTGGTACCGGGAGGCACACAGGCCTTCAGCTGCCACAGCTTCCACGCCCAGGCTCGGCCAGGTGACTGTGCCTCCCCGGTTAGCTTTGCCTCGTGCCAGCTCTTCCCGCCGTCCAGCGAGACATCCACACGGATAACACCTCGCCCACCTCCACTCCATGCGTAGCCTTTCACTGTGAGTTCTCCAGGGGGCACAAGGGCGTTAGGGGAAGGCTCAGTGATGGCTGACTGGACTGGCATCTCTTGAATGGCAGGGGCCTTGGAAAAGTCCACGTTGTCCCAAGTCACGGCGGGAGAGAATCCTTTATAATCCTTCTGCTGCCAGTGACTCTGGCTTTCCTCTGGACCCACTGAAATTCGGGCCAGCCACTTGACATTTCGAGCGCCCACAATACCTGGCACGACTACTCGGAGAGGGAACCCATGATCGCGCGGCAACTCCTCTCCATTCATCTCATAAGCCAGGAGGACATCCCCTTTGGGGTCCATCGCTTTCTCAAAAGGGATGGAGGCGCCGTAAACAGTGCCATTCTGATCTTTGTCCAGGCCTTCAAAGCTGACATGGCCGTCATCACCTTGCTTGTACCCAGCATGCACCAGGACATCCCGAAGGCGGACGCCACTCCAGCACGCCGTGCTGATAGCCCCAATGTTCCAACCTAGCCGGTTGGTGTTCCGGAGAGCATTCATCTCTGCACGGCGATTGCCAGCACACTGCACTGTGGCAGTCACTTTGTGCTTAGGAAACTTGCTTTTCAAGTCCTGCAGAGAAAGAGAAAGCGCACGGCCACGGATACCCTGTACATACAGCCGGTAGGTAGCAGGGTCCACTGTTGGGACCGGAAGGTGGTTGCGTTTGAAGAAGAGTGGGTTGGGAGTCAGAAAGTTCTCAGCAAGCAGCTCTGAAGGAGGTTCTGCATTGAAGGGCTTTAAAGTGTTGACTTTAAGGCCAGGGTGTCGCGGAGGGTCCCCCCCGTAAGGATCTCCTGGGGTTGGCAGGGGAGGCTCCTCTGGACTCAGCTCCCCCACTTTGTACCCTTGAAGAAGCTCCAGCACGTGTTCCTGTTTATGCATAGCATAGAGAGCCCAAAAAGGTTCCAGAGCACCTCCAGCTGCCAGGAGGATCTTGCTTTTCCCCCCAGGATGCAACTCTAAGAAATCTGTAACATCGAACACATCGCTACCGTAGGTCACCCACACTCGGTCACCCTCGCTGTGGTGGCGAGCCACTTCCTGCCGTGTGAAGACAGGAAATGGAGGGCCAGGGGTGGACTCTGGGGGGTCAATCTCAGCAGCCTGCAAATAAATAAGAAAAAAAAAGGCATTGTGACAGGTAAAAGAGGAAGAACCACCTAGAAATCCACACATGAACACACACA